CTAATACTGCATTTTTAAAACTATTCCAACCCTCTTCAACCCCCCCACTACTCATCTTTGCACTAGCCCACCTTTCTGCCAATAGTCACTTATATCTCGCCCGAACTTCCTCTTCCCTTAGTTTATACACTTTCACCTCCCTCTTACTTGTTGTTGCCACCTTCCTCTTTTCCCATCTACCTCTTACTCTAACTGTAGCTACAACTAAATAATGATCTGATATATCAGTTGCCCCTCTATAAACATGTACATCCTGGAGCCTACCCATCAACCTTTTATCCACCAATACATAATCTAACAAACTACTTTCATTACGTGCTACATCATACCTTGTATATTTATTTATCCTCTTTTTCATAAAATATGTATTACTTATTACCAAATTTCTTTCTACACATAGCTCAATTAAAGGCTCCCCATTTACATTTACCCCTGGCACCCCAAATTTACCTACTACTCCCTCCATAACATTTTTACCCACTTTAGCATTGAAATCCCCAACCACCATTACTCTCACACTTGATTCAAAACTCCCCACGCATTCACTCAACATTTCCCAGAATCTCTCGCTCTCCTCTACACTTCTCTCTTCTCCAGGTGCATACACGCTTACTATAACCCACTTTTCACATCCAATCTTTATTTTACTCCACATAATCCTTGAACTTATGCATTTGTAGTCCCTCTTTTCCTGCCATAGCTTATCCTTCAGCATTATTGCTACTCCTTCTTTAGCTCTAACTCTATTTGAAACCCCTGACCTAATCCCATTTATTCCTCTCCATTGAAACTCTCCCACCCCCTTCAGCTTTGTTTCACTTAAAGCCAGGACATCCAGTTTCTTCTCATTCATAACATCCACAATCATCTCTTTCTTATCATTTGCACAACATCCACGCACATTCAGACTTCCCACTTTGACAATTTTCTTCTTCTTATTCTTTTTAGTAATCTTTACAGGAAAAGGGGTTACTAGCCCATTGTTCCCGGCATTTTAGTTGACTTTTACAACACGCATGGCTTACGGAGGAAAGATTCTTATTCCACTTCCCCATGGATATAAAAGGAAAAGTAATAAGACCAAGAACTATTAAGATAAAATCAAAGAAAACTCAGATGAGTGTGTATAAATAAACGTGTACATGTATGTGTAGTGTGACCTAAGTGTAAGTAGAAGTAGCAAGACGTACCTGTAATCTTGCATATTTAAGAGACAGACAAAAGACACCAGCAATCCTACCATCATGTAAAACAATTACAGGCTTTCATTTTACACTCACTTGGCAGGACGGTAGTACCTCCCTGGGTGGTTGCTGTCTGCCAACCTACTACCTATTATTTTGTTTAATACTTTTGGATGTCTGGAACGGATTATTTGGATTTCCATTATTTCTTATGGGGAAAATTAATTCAGCTAAAGGCTAGCTCTCTGGAATGGATTAAAGGCGTTACCTAAGGGTCCACTGTATATTCCATGCCACAGTCATAGTTATGCCTCATATCTACAAGCACAGTACTGGTCCACAGACTACATCAGAATCCTTGATTCTGTTCAAGGGACTCCTGTCATTCAAGTAATATATACTAAGCAAACATAATTGCTTTGGTATAAAACTTTTTGTAGCTGAAATGTATCTGTTCATTGCCACAGTCATGCTTATGTGTGTGAAACAGTGAGAGATAGAAAAGATATATCAAGGTTCACTAGAGGCAGTGCAGCACACCATCAGCAATGTGGAGTGCCACTGTCTGACATAAGTGTTTCAAATACTCCAGCACTTCTAGAAACATTACTGGGACCTATAAATAATTTGTATGTATTTCTAAATAATATAGTATGTGACCGAGGCATGTGGGCATATTCACCGGTCAATGTGTAATGTGTTTGATTACAGCCTCAACTCAATTAGCAATGTACTCGTTTACCAATGCCTTGGTATGAGACAGAAAAAAAGACACCAGCAATTCTACCATCATGAAAAACAATTACAGGCTTTCATTTTACACTTACTTGACAGGACGGTAGTACCTCCCTGGGAGGTACTACTGTCCTGCCAAGGGAGTGTAAAACAAAAGCCTGTAATTGTTTTATATGACGGTAGGATTGCTGGCGTTTTTTTTGTCTCATAAACATGCAAGATTTCAGGTACGTCTTGCTACTTCTGCTTACACTTAGGTCATACTACACATGCATGTAAAAGCATATATATACACACCCCTCCAGGTTTTCCTCTCATCTCCATGGGGAAGTGGAACAGAATTCATCCTCCGTAAGCCATGCGTGTTGTAAGAGGCGGCTAAAATGTTAGGAGCAAGGGGCTAGTAACCCCTTCTACTGTATATATTACTAAATTCAAAAGGAGAAACTTTCATATTTACTTTTGAGCCACCCTGCCTTGGTTGGATAAGGCCAGTTTCTTGTGAGAATGTAAAAATTTATTTACATGAAGTGCATGTAGGCAAAAAATGTGGCACATACTTTGGTCTTTTCCCTCCATCTTGCAGTGAACCTCAGGGCAAGTCCATTGTCTTATAGGCTAGTGGGTGGGAGTGACAACGAGGTACCGGATGAAGGTCTGAGCGGCCTGCAGGTGCATGCTGTCACTGCCGTCCCATGTGGCACTGGAGCATGTGTTTAGAAAATAGGTGGGGAGGGCTGCTGTTAGGTGAAGGTGTCATGTCCATAGCTATTCTGCCCTCTGACATATGGGCAGGAAGTTGAGGGCGTGTGTGAAAAATAGGTGGTGGGTGAAGGTTAGTGTGACATTGAGGCTCAGCACACTGTTCATACACATCTAGTACCACACTTTGTAGTGCTATGTTCATAAGCATCATACCTCTGCCCACAACTGTTCATTCAACCTTCCCCTCCCTCCCATAGAAACACACACACTGCACATCCAGCAACCTCACTCATACAACCTGTCCCTATAATCTCCCCACACCATTCCAGTGAGTAATCTCCACCCACACCATTCCAACATATTACCTCCACTCATGCATCTCCCCCCATTGCACATGTTACGCCCCATGAATGGGGCCCAACGTATATACAGTGGAACCTCAAATTTCGAACTGCTTCCAACTCGACCAATTATTTAAGTGTAGTTTTCAGAGTCTGAAATGGACTAATCTAATTTACATTATTCCTGATGGGAATAAATTCGTTCGGTAACAGCCTTCTGGAACGAAAAAAGTTCGAAATTTGAGTTTCCGTTTTACATGTATTCTAATTCTTTTTGCAAGTCTGCCGTCTCCCACCGATGCAGGGCGACCCAAAAAGAAAATATTTTCATCATTCAACACCATTCGGGGAGGTACTACCATCCTACCAAGTGAGTGTAAAAAGGAAGCCTGTATTTGTTTTACATGATGGTAGGATTGCTGGTGTCTTTTTTTTCTGTCTTATAAACATGCAAGATTTCAGGTACATCTTGCTACCTCTACTTAGGTCACACTACACATACTCATCTGAGTTTTCTTTGATTTTATCTTAATAGTTCTTGTTCGTAGTGCTTTTCATTTCATATCCATGGGGAAGTGGAATAAGAATCATTCCTCCATAAGCCATGCGTGTTGTAAAAGTCATTAGGTAGGATATAATATTTACACTTTATTCTGTGCTCATTGTTCGAGTAGCTGCCTGCATCTCGCCTTCGTGCAAGTCACATGATCGCATCTGAGCTAGGAGATTGGCATCCCTTGCTGGTCCTTGTTCAACCAACATCTCTCTTGTTATTTGTTCATTATTTAGACTGGTGGTGAAATGAAATATACTTCTCATAACTCTGTTCACAGAGCATAATGATTTTTGGTGTTTTACTGACAATAATTTAACCCAGGTCTTGAGCTGTATCTTCTGACCTGATTTGCTTGGTATCTGCGCACTGTCGTAGTCCAGGATTTGGTTATGCTGAACCTAGATTCAGTATTAAGAGAGTTTTATGGAGGATCTGCTGAAGGTCCCCAGTTAGGGTCTATCTTGTGACTTTATTGTTGTTGGCGAATGGTTGCCATACTGTTCTGATTGCTAATTTGGTCAGAGTATTTGAGGACATTCAGTCAGTCACGTCTTGAGACGTAGTGAACTACGTACTTGGAGCATGTATACACATTCACTTGTATATATTAGTATTAAATTCATAATTGCTGACAATGTACCAGGGGTACTGAAGAGCCATAAAGATATGAAATGCACCTTTAGCATTATTATACTCTATCTTTTGCAATACAAGAGAAGTGTGGAAACTTATATCCTATATTATAGAAAATATAGATTGTCCACCTAGACAACTTTAACTTTGTTAATAAATATAATTTTAATTTAGTATCCTAAAATACTTGTGATAAACTGGACCAGTATACTGACTATTTGTTAAAAAAACAGGTTCAATGTTAGACCTTTCTAGTATTCTCTGGAGATATCTATGCTTAATAGATATTCCACGTTTTGTAACCTCACAGACCTGCATACCACAACTTAAGTGACCTTTCACTTCAACACATTGCCCACATACCTAGACACCCATCCACCACTAGATTTTGCCCACATGGCCCCACACTACATCATCCTCATTACCTCACAGACTAACAGTCATCATTGCTTCTAGACTCCCTCTACTGTTTGGTCTTTACCTCCCATGCTCACCTAACAAGTAGGACAATCAAAATACCTGTCTGCAGGAACTTTGACTTTCAATTTTTTGGTGCCTAAGGAATATAATTTATTTCCACATGTTCAGGTTAGGTTTACATACCATAACTGCCATCTCATCTCAGTCTAATGTATATAATCAACTTTATATTATTATTATTATTATAATCAAGGGGGAAGCGCTAAACCCGGAAGATTATACAGCGCCTGGGGGGGGGATGTGGAAGGCATTCAGGCTTAATTCGGGGAACTGGAGCACAGATCCAATTCCCTAAATCAAGAGAATCAACTTTATAGAAATTTTTTTTTGTTATTCACAAACTCTTTAGGAGATTAACACATGTAATGAATTATAAAATTTTTATGAAACTCCTATACCATAGTTAGGGAAAGAGTAATTAAAATACTTCATTCTCTTTCCACAATTTAAACTTCTATTTAGTTTACAAAAAAAAAAAAGAATTAACCTATAAAATTGCATTGATTAACTCTGTGCCTATGCATGATTCATTTTCATTTGTAAAAACCTCTTTCCATATTTACAGAAATATACACTTAATATCTCTTGCACATAATACACTGTCTAGTCAAAAATTGAAGACTCGGTGACATATTTACAGAAATATACATTGTTCATGTCTCATGCAAGGCACAGAAACAAAGGTTCTGCTCCTTTATCTCCAAATAGGTCACAAAATATAGGCATATGGTTGAGGTCTTGTTCTGCATGCAGGATTTTATTTAGAGTACCTCAACTTTATATATGGAACTTAAAGAAATTACAATGACTGTGCACAAGAATGAATAGGTGTAATGAAAGCTGGAGGTTTGACTTCCTCATTTACACTTGAAATTAGGCAAGACACTTAAAAATTTATATTTTGCACTTTTTTTTTAGATCATAGGGTAAATTTATTTGAAGAATTTCTTTGTGGGGTCTGCAGCATAGTCAAGCAACAGCTGGCAAGGTGTGAAGGAAATTCCATATCCTGCTTCATATTCTCGCATTTTGGCTACTAATTTGTCTGCTCCATAGTTGTCAACAAAGTGGAATGGTCCACCAGAGAATGGTGGGAAGCCCAAGCCAAATACAGCACCAATGTCTCCCTCAAGCTGACAGAAGAAATATGCAAAATTATGATTAAAACACATTTATAAAAAGTAACAGGCATAAATTTAAGGAAAATTATTTACATTATTATAAGCAAGGGGGAAGCACTAAACCCGGAGGATTATACAGCGCCTGGGGGGGGGGGGGGAATGTGGAAGGCATTCAGGCAACTGGAGCACAGATCCAATTCCCTAAATCAAGAGCCCCTCACCAATATCAAGGAACCTTGAGGGGAAATGATTTACAAATTTCTATTTCTGATAGGCAGTAACCTTTGGCAAGGTTGCACACTAATTAGAGCAAAGGAATATAATGCCAAAAAATTGATGAAAAACAAGACACTTGGGTATCTTAGATGTTTCACCCACCAAAAGTTTTATCAGTCTAAGAGACATAAAAGAATGGAGAATATATACAAAAATCCTAAACAAGTAGAAGTACATTAAAACTTTATTATTATAATCAAAAAGAAGCGCTAAGCCACAAGGACTATACAGCAGTAAAACTTTAATTTAATGACTCGTACCTGGAAAAATAAAATTTCTCTGCATGGTATGAATTTGAAAAAAAAAAATCATACCACACAGAGTACATTTTTCTAAACTAAATAAGACGAGTGGAATCTGATAAATTTTTTTTTTTTTTTTTTTTGGCCAAAACTGATCTGCTGTTGGCAACATTGGCACTAAAGTGCCAATTAGTTTTTATTACTTCTCATTTTTCTAATTATCAAAATTATGTGCTAACCCCACAAGGGTCATACAGGGCATCTTTTTCTATGCAATGGTTAACACTAAGTACCACATTTTATAATGAAAATATCTTTAACCCTTTCAGGGTTGGTGCCGTACTAGTACACATAAATTCTAGCGAAACCTGGTAGGGCTACACATGAAAGAGTGGGTCTATGTGCCCCGACCTGAAGTTTACCTGGAGAGAGTTCCGGGGGTCAACGCCCCCGCGGCCCTGTCTGTGACCAGGCCTCATGGTGGATCAGATTATTATTATTATAATCAAAAAGAAGTGCTAAGCCACAAGGGCTATACAGCGCTGCAGGGTAGGGAAGCAAGCGAGGGTATTGGGTGGCAGAAGGGGAGAGGGATGATCAGTAGGTTACAGAAAACAGCGGGGCAGGGGATAGTAGGGGGGGGTAGAGGGTAGCAAGAGCTGAAGGTATCATCAGAGTTTGTGGAGTAAGTCAGTTGTTGTCAAAAAGTCAATGAGAGAGTCCGGATGAAAGTTGGGTCCATCAGCGAGAAGGGAAGTTAAAGAGAGAGCAGCAAAGACGACGACGGAGGTAGATTCTGCGTGCTCGTTAATAAAGTGGGCAGTCTAACAGAATGTGGCTGACTGATAATGGAACCTGACAATTCTCACAGAGAGGAGCAGGGCGCCTCTCCATGAGTAAGGCCAATGCGAAGATGGGAGAGAGTAGTCTCCCAACCTCGGCAAGAAGACGGCCAGTAACCTATACTCGGTTTAATAGATTGAAGTTTGTTACCGAGCATAGTAGACCAACTTTGTTGCCAACGGGTGTGAAGGTGCGTAGCTATTGCAGCAAAGTAGTCCGTAAATGGAATACCTCTGTATGAAACTGGTAGGTCATGTACTGCTGACCGCGCAGCAGTGTCTGCCTGTACGTCAACATGACCAGGGACCCAACAAAAAAACAATATCTTTATGCTTGGTAAAGATGCGGCGTAGCCAAAGTTGGATACGGAGGACTAAGGGGTGAGGTTTATCAAATTTCTGTATAGCCTGTAAAGCACTAAGGGAGTCTGAGACAACCACGAATGATGACACAGGCATGGATGCAATACGGATAAGTGCTGCAAGAATGGCATACAATTCAGCAGTAAAAATAGTAGCTGAAGATTGTAAATGCCCTCGTATGACACTGCTGCGAATCCTATGCCGTCAGAAGACTTAGAGCCATCTGTGTACACTGCAATGGCATGAGAGTGGAAGTGGTCAAGAAAAAGAGAGCGGGAAGCGACCGTAGACAGTTGGGCTTTCGAGCAAGGGAGAGAGAAAGAACAGACTCGAACAGCTGGAACTTCCCAGGGGGTAGGGAAAAGTGAGATGCTACATGAACATAGAAAGGTGGTAATTGAAGAGAAGACAAGAGTGAATGCAGGCGAAGAGAGAAAGGGAGTAAACAGGGGTGGTGAACAAATAAAGAATGTCTACTAATATCAGTGACCATTCTATAAATGGAAGGATTGCGGAGATCATGAGAGCGTACATAGTAGCGAAGGCAATGGGCATCATGGCAATCGGATAAGGATGGAACATTCGCTTCTGCATAGAGGCTCTCGACAGGGAAAGAGCGAAAAGCAAGGCATAAACGTAATCCTTGGTGATGAATGGGGTTAAGGCTAGAGAGAGTAGCAGGAGAGGCCGCTGAATAGATCTGGTCACCACAATCAAGTTTCGATAAAATGAGGGTGGAATGTAGGCTAAGGAGAGTTCGACGATCAGTTCCCCATGAAAGATGAGCAAGGGTTTTAAGAAGGTTCAGCTGGCTGTAACAAGTTGCCTTCAGAGAGGTAATGTGAGGTTTCCAGGATAACCTACAGTCATAGAGGAGGCCCAGAAACCTGACTGTATCACGTTCAGGGATGCGGGAGCCATAGAGGTACAAAGGATGACAGAGTATCTAGTGAAACTAATTTGGTGAGTTTTGGTACTAGAAAATTTAAACCCATGTGTGGTGGCTCAACTGGAAACACTGTCGACTGCATGCTGGAGAGAAACTGTAATGAGGTGACGGTCAGCGCCTGCACAGGCAATAGCGAAGTCATCAACACAGAGTGATGACCAAATATTTGATGGAAGACTAGAGGCCAAATCATTTATAGCAAGGAGAAAGTGTTGGGCTCAGAACACATCCCTGGGGGACACCCTCAGCTTGGATAAAGTCCGGGGAGAGCACATTATTAACCCAAACACGGAAATGTCTGTCAGTTAAAAAGTTCTTAAGGAAGGATGGTAGAGTGCCTCGGAGGCCTAAGGAGTGGGCTTGGGCCAAAATATTATACCTCCAAGTTGTGTCATATGCCTTCTCAAGGTCAAAAAATATGGCAATAACCGAGTGGTTATTCGCAAAGGCATTACGAACATACGTATCCAAGCGTAGTAAGGGGTCTATGGTAGAACGTCCCTTACGAAAGCCATATTAACGAGTGGAGAGACTGTTGTATGTCTCTAAATACCACACTAAACGTCTATTTACCAGGCGTTCCATCACTTCGCAAACTGCACTGGTAAGAGCAATGGGATGATAGTGGGAGGCTTCATGTCCCGTAGTGCCCGGTTTGCGGAAAGGGAGAACAATGGCAGATTTCCACGGCTGTGGAAGAACTCCTTGTGACCAAATAAGATTGAAAAGGCATAATAGGACTGCAAGTGCTGACTGATGTAAATGTTGTAGCATATGAATATGAATGTCGTCGGGCCCAGCTGCCAATGATCGGCAAGCTGAGTGTGTTGCCTCCAGTTCTTGAAGTGTAAAAGGCACATTATACTGTTATTCTCCGAGAGAAGAAAAGTCCAAGGGTGCTAACTCTCTGGCAGACTTTGAGGAAAGAAATGAGGGGCACAGATGGAGCCCCTGGGAAATACGGACCAGATGATTGCCAATTTCATTGGCAACATCTAGTGGGTTTGCTACATCAACACCGGCAACCCGCAGAACAGGAACCGGGTCAGGAGAATATTTACCATTCAGTTTTCGTACTTTTTTCCAGACTGCACTCATAGAGGAAGCAGAGGTGATGGTGGAGACAATCTCGCCAGCAAGTGCGTTTAGCGTCACGGATGACACGGCGAGCGATTGCACGCTTCTGCTTAAAATCAAGAAGTCTCTCCTTATTTCTATTGTACCGGTACCTGCCCCAAGCAGTGCGTTTCAAACGTACTGCACGAGCACAAGCAGGAGACCAAGGCACGCATTTCTGAGAATGCCTGCCCGAGGTCTGGGGTATAGAATGAGAAGCTGCGGTTAAAACGGAGGACGAGAAGAGGTGTAAAAGCTCATCAATGGAGGACGAAGAAGGAACCTCACTAAAAACAGTTGTGACTAAAGGTTCCAATTTGCCTGATCAAATTGCCAGCGTGGGATACGAAGAGGTGGTGAATATGAAGGGGAATTAAGAATGATTGGGAAATGATTGCTGTCTGTAAATCTGGGAGAACAAACCAGGTGAAGTCTAATGCGGTGGAGGAAGAGCAGACTGAGAGATCGATGCAAGAGTGTGTGAGAGTCCGAAGATCAAAATGGGTGTGAGTACCTGTATTTAAAACATGGAGGGGGTGGGTAGCAAGAAAACCCTCTAACTGAATGCCATGGGAATCACAGTGAGACCCCCCCCCCCCAAAGGAAATGATGGGCATTAAAATCGCCAAGTAACAGAAGCAGTGGCAGTAATGACGAAACAAGAAAGGCAATATCCGGAACAGATAATGCCCGAGAAGGAGAGAGATATAAAGAACAGAGCGTATACCACCTATGCAAGTGGATACGGGCTGCTGTGTAATGCAGCGAAGTACGAACAAATAGCTGATGGTACGGAATACCAGTGCGCAGAAGAAGGGCACTTTCATTAAAGGTCCCATCAGGAAAAGGATCTGAAGAATACAATAAATTATAGCCTGAGATTGGATAGATAACAACAGAGTGTAATTTTGGTTCCTGTAAGCAAACACCAACAGGAGAAAACAGTGAGAGTAACATCTGAAGCTCACCCCGATTACCCAAGGCTGCGTATATTCCACTGTAAATAGGCCACGATTGGCAACGATAAAGATATCTGAAATCCGCAGGTAAGGGTTCCTACGGACTAGAGGGGTTAGAAAAGTCCACATGCGGAGGCAGCGGAAAACGTTCAAGCAGCGAAGGAACGGTGCGCTGCGAAGAAAGGAGTTGCGCAGATGGTGGATCAGTGCCCATTGATGGTTTGGTCTCTAATATATTCAGAGATTGCTTCAAGTGTTTCGGAATTCAGAGACGTCATATGGGAGACAATATTGGAGATGGTAGGGGGAGGATGAGTAAAGATTGGAATTGTAATGGACTGTACCAAGGTAGTGGGGGGGGGGGCAAAAGGGTGGAGGGAACTGGAGAAGAAGCAGAAACCTGGGAGGTGGCAGAAGAGGAAGAAACTTGGGAGGAAGGTACAGTACGAGGAGGAGGGTGAACCTCTACACTTGTAACAGAGCCAGTGAGAGGGGAAGAACCAGGTACAGAGACAGGGAAGGTAAAATGAGGAGGTGGAAGAAGGGAAGGAGGGGTTAAAGGACCTTTTTTGATTTCTGAGAAGTAGAGGGACGATTGGGAGGAGGTGTTGTACGAGATCTCGTCGATACCGAGGCTTGTGAAGGAGAACACGAAGAAGCAAGAACAGACTGAGGCATTGAAGTAGGGACGTCTGAGCCCAGGACAGCAAAAGAATTAGATATAGGAGTGACTATGGGAGAGGTAACCACAGAGGAGGCTGCAGAAGATGGGACCCCAGAAGTGGGGAGGACGTTTTGAAACACGGGAATAAGAAACGGAGATGAGAAACTGCCATGGCATAAGGGAGACCTTCTGCCTCTTTCAGGAACGGATTTCCCGCTCATTTAAGTAGACTTGGCAACGGTGAGAGTACGAAGGGTGAGCCTCATGACAATTAAGGCAAGAGGGCGGCTGGCTGGAGATTCACCTTTGACCCTGCCGGCTACTCACAACAGTCTTCTAACGCCTTGAATTACCCTTAAAAACGTAAATCCACGCTCCACACCGCTGTACACCATTTATCATGTGGGAGTTCGATACGTGGATTAGGTAAGAAATACTCACGTAGGCTGTTATTACGTATAATTGCTGTTATGTGGAGGGAGCCCTTGCCAGCCGTACCTATCTCCTTGGTTACACCCGTAATACTGACTAGCCGCCCACAGTACCCTATGTGAGGGGGCCTTTGAATACTGCTGAGGTCAGCACAATATGAATTCAGATAGTGACTCAGGCAGAGACGGTTGGTCGTTGAGTCAACGGACGGTTACTGGTAACTGGTTACTACTACTGAGACTGGTAACTGGTTACTACTACTGAGATTTAGTCCATTGTGCATTCTGAAACTGAGCGTGGAAAGGGAGTGCAGGACGTGTCGATCTTTTCTGAGAAGAACGAGAAGGTGGAGAAGTATCATCAGCAGGTAATTGTCGTTGGCGTTTAGGAGTGGGACCAGAGTTGGTCCGACGTGAAACGAGCCGGCGATTCGAAAATTGCCGCACCGTAGAGGGAGAGGCCGGAAGCATAGTCAAAGGAGAGCGGAGGTCAGATAAATCGAAGGAGTCAGTCGAGACCTCAGTACCTGAAGCGGGTGAGGAAACAGCACTGGCAAGAGGTACAGAGGCATTAGGAGTGTTCGAAGAGTGGTCCAAAGACGAGGCGGGGTCAGAACAGGGTGCGGTATCAAGAAGGTGCCCGGGGGTAGCAGGTTTATGGACTAGGGCTTCCATGGTTAGGTTACTTCTTTCTTTTTGTTTTTAAGGAAAAAAAGAAAGAAGAAAAGAAAAAAAAAAAAGAATAAAAAAAAAGGGGGGACTGGGGAGGGATAGCTCCTGGGAGGAATGAGAGGGCCAGAAATCTCCCTCCGCGCCCAAGAGGACCTCAGCACCGCAAGTAGTGCAGATGCAGCATGGAACCCGTGCCATACCCTACCCATCATGCCAGTAAACCAGCAATCCGGGATAGCAACCTCACATCTGCCGAGCTACCTCGGTGGACAAAAGAGAGGGCAGTCTTATTTATCAACATTTTATTGTGGCAACGCTTCGCTCTCCAGGAGCAAAGCTCCTGGAAAGTGAAACATTGCCACAATAAAATGTCACATTAGTTGCATTTGTGTCCTTTTACTTAACATTGTCGGTACTTCTACCAATATTAATAACCCTTTCACTGTCAGTGATATATAGGTATGGCTTACAAGCCAATGTTGGTAACATACTAATATGCCAAAATTCTAAGGGCTTCAAATCTAACAGGAGAAAGCTGGTAGACCTACACGTGAGAGAATGGGTCTGCGTGGTCAGTGCGCGAAGAATAAAAAGAAAATCGGGGAGGTCGCAGTGCATTGTGGGAGTGCTAATTCAATTCACCCATTTCATCATGCCTAGCAGTAAGGAATACCTCACTCCCCGGGGAATTGGGAATCTTCCCTTCCCAAGTGATAGTTCTAATACAGACTGAAGTGTCAGTGAAGATGAATCTCATGGCTCTGAGGAGCTTATGACTAAAAAGCTATGCCCAGAATACCAGAATAGTGCTGAAAATCCAGACAACCATCAACCTTCCACCTCTGGCGCTGGGCCATCTCATTTATGTTCACTTGTACCACAGCAAAAGAGGAAACTCATATTTTCCCATGTTTCAAAGAATAAGTAAGTTTATTCAGGTATACACAAATACAGTTACATAGGTAACTTCACCAGTTCATATCTCTGAGTTGGAAAGGCTATATAACAAACCCCATTCAACCATCACTACTATCTTGGCAAACAGAAAGGCAATCAAGGAAGCTGTTGTTGCGAAAGGTGCAAGTATGTTTTCAAAACGGAGATCACAAATAATTGAAGAGGTGGAGAGACTGTTGTTGGTGTGGATAAACAAAAAACAATTAACAGGAGATAGTGTTTCTCAGTCAATAATATGTGAAAAGGCAAGGCAGTTGCATGATGATCTCATTAAGAAAATGCCCCCAAATAGTGATGATGTTGATGAATTTAAGGCCAGCAAAGACTGGTTTGAGAGAGTTAAGAATCGTAGTGGCATACACAGTGTGATAAGGAATAGTGAGGCTGCCAGTTCAGACAAAAAAGTGGCTGAAAAATATGTGCAGGATTTTAAGGAGTACATAGACACTGAAAAATTAAAACCCCAACAAGTGTTTAATTGTGACAAAACAGGTCTGTTTTGGAAGAAAATGCCAAACAGGACCTACATTACTCAGGAGGAAAAGGCATTCCCAGGCACAACCCTTGAAAGACGGGCCCAAAACTTTAATTTTGTTAGTATGCTAGTGAAGATTGCAAAGTGAAGCCTTTATCGGTATCACTCTGAACTCCCAGTGTTTTCAAGAAAAACAGTGTGTAAAGGGCTAATTTGTGTGTGATGGGGAAACTCAAACTAAGTCATGGTCACTGGGGAAATTTTCCCTGGAGGGGTTTAGGTGTGTTTGGCCCCAATTAAAAATTACCCCCCTGGAAAAAAAAGTGTCACCAATGCCCTGGTAATGGAAATGCCCCTGCTCCCTCAGACTGCAAGGCAAATTGCAGGGAGTTGAGCTTCATCAAGTGAATTTTTTCCCTCCTATGCCACTCCTCCCCTCCAGCCCATGGACAGAGGTCATTTCAAACTTAAAAAACTCTAGCAAAAGCAGTTTTTTTCAAAATGCTTTGAAGTGACCCTAAGAATTTTTGGGAAAAGATCCTTCAGTATCCTCATTAAAATAAACCCTTAAAAGGAAAGGCTTGGGGGAAGTGACTTGCAGGATTTGAACTCTGCTTGGAAAAAATTGTGGCCACAAGGTAAAAGAAAAGGGATTTGAAGGGTTTGGGGTTTAAAACCCTCGAACCCATGCCGTTGTGGAACTTTTGTGTTTTTGGGGGGAAGTCCAGGGCGTTGGGGGTTTTTTGTGGGAGGATGTGGAAGAGTTGGTGCAGAACGACAATGAAGAATAACCACTGCAGAGCGCAAGAGCAACAGAACAGTCACGCTCAGGAAGTCTTCAACATGAGGGAAAAGAGAAGGAGGATGTTGCCTTCGTCAAGGATTAAGGAAATGTGTACAATGTTTACAAAGGTGCAAGCATTTATGGGTGAATTTTATCCTGTCACAGCTGTTGCAAGCTATATTGGCAACATGTACAATGACTCTTGTGTTCCATTTTAGGGAAATCCTAAGGGGATGTGAGAAACAAAGCTCTCTGGACAGATACTTTGTCCAACAGGGGTCCAGTGACTCTCAAGCTGGTCCCAGTGGCATTAAAAAACCAAGAAGGTAGGTAACCCCAGCAAAGGACTTGGTACCTGAAATCTTTATGGAAGGGGATTTTCCTTCCAAACAATAGAACACCTGAATCTCCCCTGCTCCTGGCTCATCACTCATCTACAACTCCACAACAAAGGTAAGTGCATTTAATTATTGTTTATTTTGCATGTACCATTGGTTTCTGTGTAGGGAAATGTATATTTCATGCAAAAAAATTATTCTGTTTAATACTTTTGGGTGTCTGGAACGGATTAATTCTATTTCCATTATTTCTTATGGGGAAAATTAATTTGACTAACGGCTAGCTCTCTGGAACAGATTGAAGGCGTTAGTTGAGGGTCCACTGTATATCACAGAACAAAAGTAATGAGCAACTTTTTTAATTGTTGGTTTGTGTAAACAAGTTTTGTAAACAATATAATTACAATATTTGTGTGGTTATTGTGTTGCATACAAGGAGTGGATAAATATACATTATGCATTATATTGGTCTCATAGGCCACAAAAGTTACTGGAATATTTTTCCACACTGAGAGCAAGTTTGTGAGCAGGGGTCTTGACAGTGAAAGGGTTAAAGTCTTCCATGTTGATATTACAATATACTCAACCTTTGCATGCACATGATTCCATAAAGATACATGACCTTTCCCAAAACAGTTCAATATTATTTATTGATTTGAAAATATAACCACTCCAGCAAAACTTGAGTATATGGCATTATCATTAATTTATGTCAAATACTGCTAAAACAGTAATATCACAATTATAAATTTGCTGTCATATGTACATTAAGTTCTATGATGAGTTTCTTTAAAAATAAATAAAACTTATAGTTTACCATGAAACTAAATGCAGAAGACTTTGAAAAGAAAGTATACTTACTGGACTGCTGAGGATACCTTCCTGAAGGCAGAGAACTGCTTCATTGATGAATCTGCTAGCCATACGCATTTGTATTGACTCGTCAGTCAGGGGAACCTACAAAAATGATTTTTGTTATGATATTCATGGGTAAGTGCTAAACCCATAGAGGTCATACAGCACATGGAAAATGGGAGGTAATCAGATCTAATCCAAGAAAGGGTAGAGTAGTTTCAATTCTTCAGATATACTTCTGGGAATGAAGGGGGTGGAGGAGAGGATGTGGTATAATAGTGGGGATTTGGTTCTGTAGGACACCACCACCTGGAGGTAGGAGTTAAAGTGCATGTGTTATACTAGTGATGTTATGGTTCTGCAGGACACCATTAACTGAAAAGGCAACTGTATTGAATAATGGAGAATATTTTTTCTTAAGCCACCTTGACTTCATAGGATATGGAAGGCAAGAAAAATGTCCACAAGACATTCCAGCAAATCTCAAATGAATGGTTCATGAACTGTCAGAATATAAACAGAAAATGAGTACTCTAACCCCAATGAGAAACATTACAAAACCAATGGCTGCACTAGACCCTAGGGAGTATGTCTCAAAAGTGTCAGGAAATTCATGAAGAACATGGATACACATTACAAGCTAAGCTATATATACCTTTACATCTGGCACTTACAAAGCATTTTACTGTCTCAATATTATAGGATCTCTAGCCATTTTTACAAATGAAATTTCCAAATGACTTAAGGCTACCATTATAATGTCGAAGTGGGAAATTAAGGGTATTTACCTTAGGGGCCACACTGTACCTCTTCAAGATTTCTTTCGCTCCTTCGTTTACGTTGCGTTCCTTCACTCCTGGTTCGTACGTATATATACCTTTACCTGATTTTCGTCCTGCAAAGAGAAGAACGTGTCAACGATGACCTTTTATTTGAACCTACTAGACTGAATTTGTGGTTGGCAAGTTTTCTTTGACAGTGTTACACAGGAACTGCATATCTTTTAACTAAGTTAATTTACAGGTCTTCTGTATGCAATAGATGCATTTCTGGTCCATGGTGAACCCATTACAGGGGTGGTGCCAGAATTTTTATGCTTGGGGAGGGGTTCAGGGTGGTTATTTGGTTGGAAGGAGGGAGGGAGACTAAGAGACTATTCTGAAGCAGTGCTATTACTATTTTTATTTGGGGGGGCTAAAGCCCCTTTTCCCTTTGGTACCACCCCTGACTCATTATAACAAAAGAATTTTTTCTGAGCTTTGCAAATTTTACATTTCTTGACTATGGTTACCAATAAAATATGAGCTTACCACACATGTATCAAATGGTTATATATATAAAACCTAAATTAATCTGGTTAAATAAGAATTGAGAATAAAATAAAAATTCAATCATAATCCCAATTATCTTGCTACTCCTACTTACACTTTGGTCACACTTCACAGACACGCACATGCATATATATATATATACATACATCTAGGTTTTTCTCCTTATTCTAAATAGCTCTTGTTCTTTTTTATTTCTTCTATTGTCCATGGGGAAGTGGAAAAGAATCTTTCCTCCGTAAGCCATGCGTGTCGTATGAGGCGACTAAAATGCCGGGAGCAATGGGCTAGTAACCCCTTCTCCTGTATACATTTACTAAAAAAGAGAAGAAGAAAAACTTTATAAAAAATGGGTTGTTTAAATGTGCGGGGATGTAGTGCAGATGACAAGAAACAGATGATTGCTGATGTTATAATGAAAAGAAGTTGGATGTCCGGGGCTCTAACGAAACAAAGCTAAAGGGGGGGTGGGAGAGTTTCAGGGGGGGGAAATAAATGGGTTTAAAATTTGGGAGTATCTAGAGAGTTGAGAAAAGGGAAAGGGGGTAGCAGAAATGTTAAATGACATTTAGGGAAGGGAGAAAAGAAAAAAGAATGTGTAAATTCAAAATTATGTGGATTAAAAAAAGGGTTTGGACAGAAGTGGGTCATAAAAACGTTTGCACCGGGAGAAGAGGGGAATCAAGGAGAAGAGAGATTTTGGGAGAGTTAAGTGAATGTATAGGAGCCTTTAAACCCAAAGGGAGAGAGTAATTGTGGTGGGGGACCGAATGCAAAGTGGGGAAAAAACTTTTAGAGAGGGGTGGTAGGTAAGTTTGGGGGCCAGGTGTAAATGTAAGGGGACCCCTTTTTTGAACTTTGTATAGAAAGGGGTTTATTTATGGTAATCATATTTTAAAAAAAGGATAAAAAAGTAACAGATTGATTAGGGCGAAATGACAGTAGTTTGTTGGATTAGTATTATGATAAAAACTGTTGATAGACTTGGATTTACAGTTTATCGGGGGGCCACAGAATATCAGACACTTTCTATTGTAGCTACACTGAGAGTAAAAAGGGAGAGGGGTCAAGGAAAATTTAAAACATCAGGGGAAAAAAGGGGAAAGGGTTTTAAAAAATAAAAGAGGGGGGCAGTTAGGGGAAGATATAAACAGCTATTGGAGGGGTAATGGGGTAATAAGCATAGGCAAGGGGCGAAGAGGAAGGGGTAGGTTTTAAAAAAGTGTGTTAGAGTGTTTGCAGAAGTTTGTGGTTACGGAAAATGGGGGCAGGGGGGAAGAGGAGCGATTGGTGGAATGATGAGTAAAGAGGTAGTAAGGGAAAAAAGTTAGCATATGAAGTTTTTTCAAAGTAAAATGATGCAAGGGGGGAAAGTTATGGAGAAAAAGAGAGAGGTTAAGAGAGTGGGGAAGCAAAGTAAAAGAGAGCAAAAAGAGAGTGGGTGAGTGTTACACAAATTTTTTTTGAAAATAAAAAAAAGTTTTTTGGGTGAGTTAAAAAAGTTAAGGGAAGCCTGAGAACAAATGGATTTTTCAGTTAAAAATAGAGAGGAGGTTATTAAATGGAGAGTTAGAGTATTGGGAAGATGGAGGGAATATTTTGAGGAATTGTTAAATGTTGATGAAGATAGGGAAGCTGTGATTTCGTGTATAGGGCAAGGAGGAATAACATCTTGTAGGAGTGAGGAAGAGCCAGTTGTGAGTGTGGGGGAAGTTCGTGAGGCAGTAGGTAAAAATGAAAGGGGTAAGGCAGCCGGGATTGATGGGATAAAGATAGAAATGTTTAAAAGCAGGTGGGGATATAGTTTTGGAGTGGTTGGTGCAATTATTTAATAAATGTATGGAAGAGGGTAAGGTACCTAGGGATTGGCAGAGAGCATGCATAGTTCCTTTGTATAAAGGCAAAGGGGATAAAAGAGAGTGCAAAAATTATAGGGGGATAAGTCTGTTGAGTGTACCTGGTAAAGTGTATGGTAGAGTTATAATTGAAAGAATTAAGAGTAAGACGGAGAATAGGATAGCAGATGAACAAGGAGGCTTTAGGAAAGGTAGGGGGTGTGTGGACCAGGTGTTTACAGTGAAACATATAAGTGAACAGTATTTAGATAAGGCTAAAGAGGTCTTTGTGGCATTTATGGATTTGGAAAAGGCGTATGACAGGGTGGATAGGGGGCAATGGCAGATGTTGCAAGTGTATGGTGTAGGAGGTAGGTTACTGAAAGCAGTGAAGAGTTTTTACAAGGATAGTGAGGCTCAAGTTAGAGTATGTAGAAAAGAGGGAAATTTTTTTCCCAGTAAAAGTAGGCCTTAGACAAGGATGTGTGATGTCACCGTGGTTGTTTAATATATTTATAGATGGGGTTGTAAGAGAAGTAAATGCGAGTGGTCTTGGCAAGAGGCGTGGAGTTAAAAGATAAAGAATCACACCACAGGTGGGAGTTGTCACAGCTGCTCTTTGCTGATGACACTGTGCTCTTGGGAGATTCTGAAGAGAAGCTGCAGAGATTGGTGGATGAATTTGGTAGGGTGTGCAAAAGAAGAAAATTAAAGGTGAATATAGGAAAGAGTAAGGTTATGAGGATAACAAAAAGATTAGGTGATGAAAGATTGAATATCAGATTGGAGGGAGAGAGTATGGAGGAGGTGAACGTATTCAGATATTTGGGAGTGGACGTGTCAGCGGATGGGTCTATGAAAGATGAGGTGAATCATAGAATTGATGAGGGAAAAAGAGTGAGTGGTGCACTTAGGAGTCTGTGGAGACAGAGAACTTTGTCCTTGAGGCAAAGAGGGGAATGTATGAGAGTATAGTTTTACCAACGCTCTTATATGGGTGTGAAGCATGGGTGATGAATGTTGCAGCGAGGAGAAGGCTGGAGGCAGTGGAGATGTCATGTCTGAGGGCAATGTGTGGTGTGAATATAATGCAGAGAATTCGTAGTTTGGAAGTTAGGAGGAGGTGCGGGATTACCAAAACTGTTGTCCAGGGGGCTGAGGAAGGGTTGTTGAGGTGGTTCGGACATGTAGAGAGAATGGAGCGAAACAGAATAACTTCAAGAGTGTATCAGTCTGTAGTGGAAGGAAGGCGGGGTAGGGGTCGGCCTAGGAAGGGTTGGAGGGAGGGGGTAAAGGAGGTTTTGTGTGCGAGGGGCTTGGACTTCCAGCAGGCATGCGTGAGCGTGTTTGATAGGAGTGAATGGAGACAAATGGTTTTTAATACTTGACGTGCTGTTGGAGTGTGAGCAAAGTAACATTTATGAAGGGATTCAGGGAAACCGGCAGGCCGGACTTGAGTCCTGGAGATGGGAAGTACAGTGCCTGCACTCTGAAGGAGGGGTGTTAATGTTGCAGTTTAAAAACTGTAGTGTAAAGCACCCTTCTGGCAAGACAGTGATGGAGTGAATGATGGTGAAAGTTTTTCTTTTTCGGGCCACCCTGCCTTGGTGGGAATCGGCCAGTGTGATAATAAAAAAAAAAAAAAATCCCAATATAGTGCTGTATAAGCAGGGCCCCTTGCATTATTAATATTTGAGAAGTGCTAAATTTGTAGAGGTCATACAACACCTAGGGAATGCAGGCAAGAAGGGTAGACTCAAGGAAAGGTAGGTGCAAGGAAGGGTAGGCACAAGTTCAATTCCTTAGATCAAGAGTGCCTCAAAAGCATCAAGGAGACTCCCGAGGGGGTCAACATCAAGAAGACTCCCTTAAGGGAGTCTGCTCAAGGAAACTCCCTTGAAGGGGTCAGCATCAAGGAAACTCCCTTGAGGTAGTATCCTAGGTTAAAACTACATTATGTACTTTTTTGTATTACAATGGTTCCAAGGTGTGATAATCCCTGAAACAGAAATAAGTCACACTGAATTTATTGGGTTATCCTCGGTTAGACCTTTGTCCTATACACTTGAAAGAACCCATAATGGGTTAGTCTCTGGTGGCCTGGTGGCTAACGCTCTCGCTTCACACGGCGAGGGCCTGGGTTCGATTCCCAGCCAGAGTAGAAACATTGGACGTGTTTCTTTCCACCTGTTGTCTATGTTCCCCATCAGTAAAATGGGTACCTGGGTGTTAGTCGACTGGTGTGGGTCGCATCCCGGGACACTGACCTAATTTGCCCGAAATGCAGAGCATAACAAGGGAGTTTCTATAGTAGTATGTCATTGTTGTCAGCTAGGACTGTATACCTTGTACATGTACTTGTAGTAAATAAAGATATTATTATTATTATTATTTGATTTATCAGCAATCTTAATTTCATAGTTGAGTTTAGCCTTTCTAATCCCCTTTTTTACTTCAATCAACACAGATGAGACTTAAAATGACAGCAGGAAACATACTAGCAAAAGGCAAATTTGATAGCACAATATTTAGAAATAAAAGTATGAGATGTTAACAAAAAGTTCCCTGACTCGCATATCCACATGCTTCCTGGGTGAAGCACAGCAGCAACACGAATCACATTGTGCGGTACAGTCCTTTATGAAGTAGCGTGATGAGTTTCAGTGTGGTCAGTCATAGCACTGAGGTCCGACAGGCATTTTTTTGTCATATTGCTTTGTTGCAATTTTGTG